GCATTTATGTCATATATCATGGCAGTTCCGTGTAATAAAACAGTGTAATAATTGTATTTATCTCGTATACCACGGTAGTTCCGTGTAATAAAACAGTGTAATAATTGCATTTATGTCATATATCATGGCAGTTCCGTGCAATAAAACAGTGTAATAATTGTATTCATCTCGTATACCACTGCAGTTCCGTGTAATAAAACAGTATAATAATTGCATTTATCTCCGACATACCATGGCAGTTCAGTGTAATAAAACAGCGTGATAATTGCATTTATCTCATATATCATGGCAGTTCCGTGTAATAAAACAGTGTAATAATTGCATTTATCTCGTATACATGGCTGTTCTGGGTAATAACACAGTGTAATAATTGCATTTATCTCGTATACCACGGTAGTTCCGTGTAATAAAACAGTGTAATAATTGCATTTATGTCATATATCATGGCAGTTCCGTGTAATAAAACAGTGTAATAATTGTATTTATCTCGTATACCACGGTAGTTCCGTGTAATAAAACAGTGTAATAATTGCATTTATGTCATATATCATGGCAGTTCCGTGCAATAAAACAGTGTAATAATTGTATTCATCTCGTATACCACTGCAGTTCCGTGTAATAAAACAGTATAATAATTGCATTTATCTCCGACATACCATGGCAGTTCCGTGTAATAAAACAGGGTGATAATTGCATTTATCTCGTATACATGGCTGTTCTGGGTAATAAAACAGTGTAATAATTGCATTTATCTCGTATATCGTGGCAGTTCCGTGTAATAAAACAGGGTAAGAATTGCATTTATCGCTTATACCATGGCAGTTCCGTGTAATAAAACAGTGTAATAAGGCATTTATCTCGCATACCATGGCAGTTCCGTGTAATAAAACAGTGTGATAATTGCATTTATCTCGTATACCACGGTAGTTCCGTATAATAAAACAGTGTAATAACTGCATTTATGTCATATATCATGGCAGTTCCGTGCAATAAAACAGTGTAATAATTGTATTCATCTCGTATACCACTGCAGTTCCATGTAATAAAACAGTATAATAATTGCATTTATCTCCGACATACCATGGCAGTTCAGTGTAATAAAACAGCGTGATAATTGCATTTATCTCATATATCATGGCAGTTCCGTGTAATAAAACAGCGT